CCAGGGTTCTTAATGAAACACCCTCAGGAAAATGTTTAAACTTTGCCCTTAAGTTTACTTTGTTCACTAATAGGCTTCTATTTCTAGTAGAGAGTAGGAAGGGTAAGTTCAATGTGTTAATAAGAAAAAAGTAATAATATTTAATTAATTCTGGCTGAACACACATGGTTTAATATACTTGGCAATATCATTCCATCACATGATATGATAATTTAATGGAACTTTTTTATTTAAATTGCTGGCAAGTTTATGAAATTATAAAGCAAATAGGCCATGCACTTGGGTGTAATTGACTGTATAAATGTGTTTTATACTATACTGTTGGCAAATTAGCCAATCCCTGTCACAGAATCAATTATTATCTAGCTGAATACCACAAACACAATAGCAGAAATATTGCATTTATACAAAAAAACCCACCATGACTGTTAATCTTACATTGTGCATCTTAAAGCAAAGCAATAAACATTTATACACTGGATAATCGTCTTAAGATAATGCCCCTGCCAAATGATGCACATTTAAAGATTCCTTGTTGTTGGAGACAGTCATTTGGGTTTTATTTGTGCTTGCCTCTCCGGATCAATGAAGAGGATAATGGAAGCTTCAGTAGTTCAAGTCAAGTAGGGGTTCAGGCATTTGACCTCCATTTAAGAGACACACACGGGCCAGAGCTGGCACCACGCTGTACATCCATGCGTGCCTTGCACCAGAGGCTTTAGATATAATAATGCTGTCTTGTATTTAAATAGAGCTATCACTTTTTTAAGTGCCCACTCTCTCTTGTTACCTGGGTCATGTGAAAATCTGGGTCATGGAAGACCCAAAGAACTCCATTTTATCAGTTTCTAGTCTAGATGAGTGTTATTTAGCATGGCTTGTCTGAAACAGGTGTAAAGGGTGAGCTCCTTCATGCTTTCTCCTTCAGTTGTCCCTCTGGTATTTCCAGCACAGCTACACACGCTGCGTACACAGACTGTGAGCCACATGTACACACACAGGGCTAACATGCCTATAGCATAAAGTATTATATATACACACACACACACACCCCATTATATATATGTATATGTATATACTATATTGAGAGATGCCCCATCTATACATATGCATATATTATATAAATATACACATCACTATACATAGGCTCTAACCTGCTTGTTGGAAAAACTCTGTATGTCAGCTTCTTGTGTTCGGAAGCTCAAGAGTGGCCTGAAGATACAGTCGGCCTTTGAGATCACGTTTTCAAAACTGTGACACGAAGTGTACCTTAACTTACATGTTCACATTTAAGCCTCCTACGTGCCTGTGAGGGTTACTTTCTTTATCTCTGTCTGATGGGAAAACAGACTTATGGCGTCAGAGGGATTTATTCAAGATGACATATAGGGAAAGTGGCAGAGTCTGGTTGTTCATCCTCAAAGGCTGATTTAAAACCTTTATTCTTTTCTGTAGGACAAGAATAGAAACAGCAAGACCCTGTTCATGTAGCTGCTGATAAGAAACCAAATTGGGGGGAAATGCTAAAATGGATTCCACAAGGATCCCACAAGTATTTGCCTTACAAGAATATTTTCTCCTTAAAGAGAGTACATTCTCTTCCCTCTCATCATTTCAGGAGAGGAAATGTCTTTGGCCATCCAACTGAAACATGTTATCTCCTCTTGGCGTTTTCATATTTGCTTGAATTAGCTTTTATAATATGCCACTTGTCTTCTGTCTTGTTTTAAGCATTTGGACATTTCTTCCTTCTGGGAGGTTTATTTCCCCTTAAGATTTTCTTTTTGCTCTTTTTTAAAGGTTGCTTGATTTGAATCCCCCTCTCTTTCTCTTCCTGTCCATCCTTTCAGTTTCTTATTTCTATAAGTCAACTCAGACTGCTAGGCGATGTGTCTCCCAGCAATATGATTTATAAGCTCTGGGGTGGCGGAATGGCAAAAGTAGAAAAGAGAATAGTGTGTCAAAATTCTGGGTTTTCATTTCTACCTGGCTGTGTGTGATGTTCAATTAATATTTGACAGTGGTGGGAAGCATCATTGAAATAAGCCTTGCCTCCAACTGAATTTAGTATACATGAATGCATTCTAATATATTTAGTATTTAGTATATTTAGTATTTAGTGTAGGTGAATGTGTTTCTAAAAGCATAATTGCTTTTATGGTGACATTCACCCATCTTTAGGATTTCCAAAGAGTCAGTAATTTCTTAAAAATCTGCAGAGTTTTTCCTTACAAGCTAATTTCTGAAATAGAGATTTGTTGAGTTTGTGGGATGGCAAAGGCTAGTCCATGATTGCTTTCCATTTCTTCCTAAAGCACTGGAATATGGCCGTGACTGTTATAATAAAACAAAGGTAGCTCTTGAGAAACTGTAAAAAAATCACAGATGATGAAACATTTTCTAACATCAGTATTAGTTTAAAGGTTTATAGAAAACTTGCGTCAATTATATATTTAATTTCTACACCTTTCTGAATATCCTTTTGTCAGCCACTGAAAGAAAGTCATTTTTTTTCACTTACTTTGTCCCCAACCTGCAAATCATTGCAATGTGATAAAAAGAAGAGCAACAGTTTTTACCACCTCATCAATCAACATTTCAGATGTGGACAAGAAGACAACAACAATCTTTCCTTGACATCACAGTGCAAGCTGTGACGATGCAGATAAAACCATAGAACTTCAACCACAAATCTTTCCTTTTTTCTTGGCACCATAATTCCGACATTAATTCAACAAATATTTGTTGTTTTAGTTAAGATCTTCAACATGTGACTCTGAAACAATGTTCTTAACTAAATGACTGGATCTGATAAGTGACAGAATGTCCAAACTCCAAATCTATGTGTGCGTGCGGACAGACATGTATTTCACCGAACTGACTTCCAACTTCATTCTACAAGTCTTAAATTGGCTATCTGAAGGTCATCCCAGTTTTGACTCCAAAGGACCAAAAAAATCCATCTAGTTCTCCCTTAAACTGACTCCTCTTCTGGTATCTTCTATTTGGGAAAACACAGCTACCCAAGCAAATCAGTAGGAATTGATCTAAATTCAAGATTCAGAAATTTATAAAAGTCATCTTGAGCTCCTTTATGGAAATCAAAGACCCACCAAGAAGTCCTCGGCACCTACCCATAGGCCCTCAGAACTAACTCCCTCTGTCACTTTCACTGTCTTTAGCTCTAACCTTTATTATTTCTCATACTTAGCTATGAGAGGGTCCTCAGCACAGGGCACCAACTGTAGCACTTCCCCAATTCATTCATCCATAGTCACTACCTCTTTTACTGAAAAATTAATTTTACATGTCATTCTCCTGCTTGGAAACATTTCTGAAGTTCCCAGCTCTGAGAGGATAAGTCCATGCTACCTGGATGATGACGAGGTCACATCCAGTCAGTCCCTTGGTGGCTGCCTGCTCCTGATTCACAGCACATCTTCCTACTGGTCTTGCTCCCCCAGACTTGATGTGATTGTGAGCTCAGAATCACAGTTCTCATGTAGTTCCATGACCATCACATATCTCATGTGTTTTTCATGTATTTCCAACACTTTACAGGGATTCTGTGAGGGTTAAAATAAGCGCATGCATGTAAAGTCGTCCAATAGGTTGGGACACACAATAAGTTTCGCAGAAATATTAGTTATTGTTGTTGTTATAATCTGAGTATTGCTGTCAGTTTAGGATTCTTTTATTCCCCTCATCTTCTTGGATAAATTGGATTTCGAAAGACCCCCTCTTTGTAGAATCATGTGTGAGTTACTCCCCTACATTTCTATGGCATTTTGCTCACTAAGAGACTTACCTGATTTAAAATCAAATATTGGGTTAAGTGTTTGTTTACCCCCATTAAACTCTTACATTATTAAGAATGGATACAAAGCCATATTCCTTTTTTGATATCCCAGAAAGCTAGTCAAGTGCCAGTCATTTAAAAGAAGCTCAATAAATGATTGTTGATTAAGTAAAATATATATGTTACATGACAAAGGAAAACAAAGAGACTAATGGATGAACTATTTAAAAACTTTAAGGGGCTCTAGAAAAATTTTAAAGTCCTAATAGTTCATCTCTACTCCCATTAAATCTAGTCTTAACCTGTTAAACAGTGGAAGGTTCTGTTCTTGAGCATCTTTTTCAAGTAAGATGGGCCTTTGGGTCATTCAGTCATTTTCTATATCATATTTTTGAAAGAAATAGAATTGGTGGGGCAGAAATAGTCTCTATCATCCTATCTTAATATATCGACTGAGTTTGAGGTATAGTGTGTCTGTGCTAGTAAAATTCAGAAAACATTTCATTCATTTACATGTGATTCATGCCAGAGACCTGCCAAAAGAGTGCAGATATGAATCAAAAAATGTTGTGATTCATCATTCCCCATATAGAAGTAATTATCTGGGCCCATGAGATTCTCCCAAAGGGACAGCATGATATTTAAAATAGAAGAATTTATAGCTCTCACACATATTTGCATCTCCTACAAAGTTGATAATATTTTGAAAGGGATCATATGGAATATATGGGTGCCCTTGGGCCTACAGAGTTCCAATTAATCTTGCCAAATATTACATGCTGTAAAAAACTTTGACTTGATTGTCAATCCTGAGCTTGATCAGTGGAAGCGGGATATTCTTAAGGTGATAGCCCTTACAAGTACAAATCATGGCTCTTACAACCTACGTTTTCTCCAGGACATTTGCTCAATATGTTTTGGTACTTCCCAAGTGTCAGAGGGAATGAGAATTAATTTAGAATGATTGATGATTTGGCAACCATTGGATGAAAATGATTCATTCCTTCCCTCCTTGGCAGTCAAAATTCAACTTGGGTTCCTGCTTTCTGTCACCCATGAAAGTAAAATTTTCTAAGATTTTAGTAGAGGCTGCCTTCCTAGTTTCCTTCAGAAACCTTAGCTGACTTGCCAAGTTAGGAACCAGAAGCATATGATAGGTTATAGAGGCTAAGAATTCACACCTTTTTTTTTTTTTTTGCAGTTGAAAATGGGTGAAAATGGGTGATTTAAGAAGACCTGAGCATGGCGAGCCGTAACAGTTTCAGCCCAGTAAGAAAATGGTTCCATTCCAGCTGTTCTCAGATTTTTCTTTTTCTTTTTTTTTTTTTGTGGTGGGACCCTCGCTGGTGGCCGGGGATTGAACTGGCGCTGCAGAGGCTGCGGGCAGCCTCGCAACCCAGTGTTCAACCACTGCGCCACCAGGGGAGGCCATGTTCTCAGATTTTAAGTAGTTCAATCTTAACTTGCAGCCCCCCTACTTCCACTCACCATTTGGCCAAAGGACCCCTAGTTTAAAGGGCTTATCAAGTTATTATCAGCTTCTATACCTTAGTGCTTCTAAAGTGAAAACATGCATATTAATCTCCTGTGGACCTTGCTAAAAGGCAAATTTTGATTCCATGGTCTGAATTGCGGTTGGCATTTCTAACACGTTTCCAGGGGATGCTATTTGCCTGCAGTCCACACTGCAATGAGGAAGGGTCAAGATGTCACCTCAGACATGAATGACCAATTCACTCAGGGCTCCTTAACCTGACCATATGCAGGGAAAAAAATACACACACATACACAAACAGCAACTTAAATTAGCTGTATTTTTGGCCTTTCTTAGCATCACCTGAGTGTTTCAAGAATGAATAGTTTATCGGAAGCCTAATTTCACATTTCTCAAACAGAAGTCCATTCTGGTGAAGGAAAGGCAGTCTTAATTGTCCCTAGGACAATCCAAATGATCTTCTAACCATCCATTCAGGGTCCTGTAGAGGCTGTGTGTCATCCAGTCCCCTTGGTGTGCCCTTTGCCCTGTGTCTGGGTGTATAGGAGTCGGGGATGGGTGGACTTCTCTGGTTCAAATGAGAACTTTCTGACCTGGAAGGTTGCCAATCCCTACAACCCATAAGTAGATGGCTGACTAGATCATCCTGGGTTATCAAACACTCAGTCCCTGGCTTGAGGTTGACCCAATGTAGTAACACAACTCATGACCCAGAGCTCCTAATGTGGCCAGATTGGGGATGACTGCCACTTGGGTGGGCCCACCGTTTTGCTTGATTCCTTCATCTCCATCCCTGATTCCCTCATTCCAATAAGTGACATAATGTAACAATCCTCATGGCAGGAAATCCTCTGTGTCCAAGGAACTGATCTGAGCTAAGCTATGCCACATCTCTTCTCTATCAAAGTCAAGCAGTACCTTTTAATTACAAGAATTATCACTGAGTTCTGAAAAAAGAGAAACCTAAGAAAATGATCCTATGACCTGGTGGTAATGTTTATTTCTTGAGTTATTCTTACTCCATTTATGGTCTTGGATAGAATAACTTGCTCACACTTAGTTGAAGGAATTACAGATGTTGTTTTTTTGCTTGAGTAAGGTGAGATGGGATAGTTCCCTCTGCTAGGAATATTTCCCAGGGTAGTTAATGCTATCAGTTCTTCAACCTCAGGTACATATACTGATGTTCACCTGAAATCTATAAGTGATCAGGTGGAAAGCAAATTCTCCATGAGCAGGGCATACCCGAATTGTTCAAGTTCAAGTAGATTAGCGTGTTCATATTGCAAAGATGAAATAATCATCTATGGATGATGTCTCCTTACTTTATCTTGTCTTTCAGTGAGTGGGAGAGTTATAAATAAAATGTTGTTTAAGGAGGTGTATAAATAAATTGGCATAATTAGGTGTCATAATTAGGTGCCCATTGCTGTTCCAGACACATTTACATAATTGTCAGTACTGCAATGAAAATAATTGTTTGCCAGGATTGCTTCTGTTAAGGCTGATAGTTCCTTACTTAGTATAGTTTGCTCTAAGTGGTTGTTTAGAAAATATTCTAAACTCTGATTGTGGAATCATTGTACACAGACTTAAATTTTGCTTTATTCTCTAAAAGGAAAGGAAAGGGCAAATAGTTCATATTTGGAAACTTTATCCATAGATAAAGTTTATCTTTATCCTTAAAAACTTTATCCGTAGAATAGAATCAAGAAACAGTATTTTACACATGTATAAACATATATGCATATGAAGAAATTTTTATATATTTATATAAATAAGTTTGCTCCAAATTTCAAACTCTGGAACTCTCTTTTAAGCACTAAATTGGACTCCTTATCAATAACTGTCCAAGGTTAACTGAAATATAATTGTTGAAAAGAAGTTGGCATTGGGCCTCCCCTGGTGGTGCAGCGGTTGAGTGCTGGGTTGCGAAGCTGCCCACAGCCTCTGCAGTGCCGGTTCAATCCCTGGCCACCGGCAAGGGTCCCACATGGCGCGACAGATCTCTCCTGCCGCACCCGCTGCTCTCCTCAGCAGTGTATTTCGTCAGTCTGCCTGTTCTGTTCCCTGCTCTGGCTCTGGTGAATTCTTTCACCCTCCCGTGCTTCTGATTGTACCCAGTGCTTGTATAAATAAATAAATCCTTAAACAAAAAGAAGTTATTATTCTTCTGCCTGAGAGTGGTAGGTAGGGCAAGATACCCTTGTTGCTCAGAATTCTTTATTCAGCTGCTGTCTTGAAGTTCAGACTTTCTGAAATACTCTCGTGATACTCTTTTTCCAAATGTTCCTGACATCCTTCAAGTCTTGGCTCAGATTCACCTTTGCAAAGGTCCTAGATTGGCCACACATTTTAAAAGTCATGTTCCTCCTCCCACCTCCAACACACACTCTAACTACTGTGTGTCTTTTCTCCATAGCACTGAATACCTTCTACCTATTTATATGACTTACTGCTTAATTATGCTTATTGCTTATTTTCTGTCTCCTTACTTAAAAAAAATTAAATTCTATGGGGCAGAGCTCTTTGCCCTTAATAAAACTATTGTAAAATATAACAACAAAAAGGAATTTGCTGTCCACATAATTAAAAAGTGCAGCACTTTTTAGTGCTGCAGGCATGGCTATATCCAAAAGTTCACAAAAGCTCCTAAGAATGTGTTTTTTCCTTCATCCTTCTGCTTTATTTTTTCCTTTCAATTTTTTTAAAGATTTGATTTATTTATTTATGCATACAAGAACTGGGGTATAGGTCAGAAGTGTGGAGGGTGAGGGGATTCACCACAGACAGAGTGGGGAGCAGAACAGGAAGTTCCACTGAAATACACTGCTGAGAGGAGCAGCAAGTGAGACAAGAGAGGTCTGCTGCACCATGTGGGTTGGCTCCCTGGCCTGGGATTGAACTCATGCCACAGTGGCTGGCCATAGTTTGATAGCATTGAGACTTTAAATTCTGTGCCACCGGGTAGCCCCCCAATTTTTATTCAGTGACAAACTGACCACCAATAACTCCACATTACTTTCTCCAGGTTATTTTGATACTCTAGAAGCATCAAAGCAGGGAGGATGTGGCCCTTCCAATGGTTCCAAAATAAGACTGAAGACTGGCTTTTGAGGTTCAATCCTGAACCAGTCCTTTTGGCCAGGGGTATAATGCCCACTTCTTGGCCTGAATCACATGGTCTAAGATTGAGAACACTGTGGTTTCCCAAATAAAAATCAGGGACATAAATATTGGACAAATAAAACCAGAAGGTATCCATAAAACTTCTCTAGAAAAGTTAAGTTCATCTTTATATGGAATTACCTTAGTGCCTAGCATGATACGTGGAAAATCATAGATGCTCAATAAGAAACACTTGTTTGATAAATTCTTGAGAAAAATCATTCTATCTCTCTAATCTCAATTTCCTCACCAAGAAAGAGCTATAACTCCCAGGGAATGAGCTATAACTACCCCAGTAGGTAGGGGAAATCATGTTAAAGATCCTTGAAAGCATTGTGAATACTTCACTCAGCATTATCCTTATATTGGCTATTAAGAATTATGGTTTTAATCCAGTAAGGCTTTTATATCGGTATAATATGTGATTCTTACCCTTAATTTTAACAAAATTATTGATCATTTTACATAATCTTTAAAATGAAATTTCCTCCCTCTTCATAATTTTCTTTCTTTTTTTTTCTTTAAAGATCTATTTATTTATACAAGAACCAGGGTACAGCCAGATTTGCGGGAGGGTCAGAGGATTCACCAGAGACAGAGCAGGGACCAGAACAAGCAGACTGATGAAATACACTGCTGAGGGGAGCAGCGGGCTAGACAGGAGAGGTCTGCTGTGCCATGTGGGATCCTCGCTGGCCCGCCATTATCGAACTGGTGCTGCAGAGGCAGTGGACAGCTTCACAGCACTGCGCTCAATAGTCTGCACCACAAGGGGAGGTCCCTTCTTCACAATTTTCAAAGTGAAATGTATCTTCCTATCAATCAGTTTATGAGATTGTCCTTCTGGGTTTCAGCTTATGTTTCTTCGACCCTTCTGTCTGTTTATATGATAGTTCCATGCTCTTGATAATTATAATATTACAGGACTTTTCATTATCTGGTAAAGCTAAGAACAATTACAAAGTTCTTATACTTGTCAATTATGCTTGTTATCACCCTTTTGTGGTTTTAATATTTTTTAAAAGATTCATTTATTTACTTATGCATACAAGATTTGGGTGCAGGCCAGAGGTGTCGGGGCTGAGAGGATTCACCAGAGACAGATTGGGGAACAGAATAGGCAGATTGACTGAAACACACTGTGGAGGGGAGCAGTGGGCAAGTCAGGAAAGGTCTGCTGTGACATATGGGTACCTCCCTGGCCAGGGATCGAACTTATGCTGCTATGGCTGTGGACAGCTTCATAGGTTGCATCTTAACCCCATGTGCTACCAGGGAGGCCCCTGGTTTTAAAATTTAAGAATATTTTTATTCTGAATTTTGATAATTGTTTCTTGGAAGTGAATGATGGATCTTTGACTGCCTTGATGCGCCCTTCCTGAGGAACCATGATTATGGCAATGAAGAAAACTGAATTCCAACCCATTTTCAGGCCACACACTGACTTCAGTGTGCTGCAAATAATTTTGACCAGTGAATTGGTGCAAGCTCAGTTTTGATTCCACAGCTGCTAAGTCTTCAACTCTGCCTTGACTGACACTTGACCCCATCCTATTAATGTTCTTCCTGTCACAAAACTTGTTTCTGACATTAAGTAAAATGGAAG